TTGAGTTAGAGTCTCACTCTCACCCAGGCTGAAGTGCAGTGGCACGCTCATGGCCACCACAGCCTTGACCTGCTGGGTTCAGGCAATCCTTCTGCCTCAACTTTCCAAGTAGCTGGAACTACAGGTGCATACCACCACACCCAACTAATTTTTTATTTATTTTAGAGACATGGTCTCACCAAGCTGTCCAGGCTGGTCTCGAACCCCTGGACTCAAGCAATCCTCTCACCTTGGCCTCCCAAAGTGCTGGGATTACAGGCTTGAACCATTGCGCCCAGCCTCCACCCCTCAGACTTAAAGGAAAGGTCCACTCTGGCATCTTGTCCCATTGTCAGTGCTGCGCTTGTCATCTCGTGGGAGAGCAGTTTGAACCATCTTCAAGGCCATCCCCAGATTTAAAGCCAGGTGAGAAATATTCTCCTTGCCTTGGGCTTTAGTCTCATCATTCTCAGGGGTACTGGGGCCTTCCCAAGTTCCCTTTCTGATTGTCTCCCTGAGGAACCGCAGCCCAGAGGCTTGGCCTGAGATGCCCTTCATCCCCGCCTCCTTCAACCCACACTTTTTACACCCCAATCAACCAACCATCCTTACTGGGCAAATTGAGATGACATAATGGCTAGTGAAAATCACCCTTCCTCTGGCTTGATGGGCCCCAGGGACCCAAGAAACAATAACATTCTGTTCCACTCAGACTGATGGAAGACAAGTGCATGACCAGCTTAGGGCAAACCTCTAGTCTGGGGAATGGGTCTTCTGGCAGGAAGATCTCATGACTGAAAGGTCTCTCTGGGAGGTGTCAGGATTTCCAAAAGAAAGGGTGACTCATGCTCGGAGGCAATTCCTAAATGTTGGTCCACACAAACCTGCTGCTCTGAGACAGCTTGTGCTTGCACAAAAAGCATTTAAGACTGCCTTTTGTACTAACAGTATGACTACCTTCAGTCTGGTCGGTAAAGTTTCCTTTTTTGATGAAAGGCCAGTGACAGCATGTGAGTAACCTATAGCCTGTGGTGGGGCGGATGTGTGTGACACAAGCAGCACGGCCTGACAAGGGCAGGCTCTGTGCCATATCACCAGCATTCTCACCTAGACCCAGAACTGCATTTCCAAGTGGGGAACCCTTGACAGGCTATTCAAACTCCTGGCACTTTGGTTTCTGTCTGTCAAATGGGACTGACCATACACAGCTGTGTGATATTTACATGAAGCAAGACACAGGAGGCACTCAGAATACGTGGGAGGCGTCCTTCACTAATGCCAAATAGGCTGGGCCTGTGTTTACATGGGGTAAGACACAAAAGGCACTCAGCAGGACACTTGGGAGGCATCTTTCACTAATGCCGAATTTGCTGGGCCTGCGTTTCTCCTGTCATCTCACAGCTCCAAGAGATAGATTCACATCTGAGAAGCACTGGACCAGGTTCCCTTATGTGTGGTTGCAGGTGGGCAACACACACAGACACACACACCCCTCAAGCCTGGAAGAGTGAAAAGCAGCATTTGGTCGCACGCTCCTGACTTACACACCACAGGCACTCAGGCACCTCTGGACGAGGGAGAAGGTGTTCGTGTGGCAGCCAGGTCAAGCTCTTGTGGCATCTTTGGGACCTCTTGGATGCTCATCCTGAGACAGGCACCGGTTTCACTGCACTGAGAGGTGACTGGAGAGCAGCAGAGGACAGCCCTGCAAGGGACAGGCGCCCCCTCCACTTGCCCCACCGGTGAGGCCTCTCCCTGTAACAGTGCAACATCACCACCGTGTGGCCTGCAGTCTGAACAACAGCCGGGAACCTCTTGGGTCTCGGGAGATTTCCAGACTAGGACCAGGATTTGAAACTTTGCCTCTTCTACCAAGCCCATCCTAACCCAAATTTCACTGTGATTCCTAGGTGGGGTTAGACTCGCTGTGGCTGCAGTAGGCAGGACCCATAGTTAAACACTCATTAAACTTTACATGGTTTTAACGAGTAGATAAACAACTGAGATGCAAGGTAGTTTGGGGGTAGGGGGAGGACACCACCAGAGTGATGGATGATCTTGAGAGCCTAGCAACAAGCAGCTAGTCATTCTGGGGAAAGGCTCCACATGGATGCACTGAGCTTGTGGCAGTCCTCACACTTCCCTTGTGAGCGTGGGAGGCTGTGCCCAGGGGAAGAGTGCACTTGAAGTCCTCAGCCTCACCCTGCCACTCCTCCTCGCTCTCCGGATACCCCCCCAGCCCTGTAGCCTTTGCCTGGGGGAAGGAAAGGCAGGTCAGCCAGTAGCAGGCTTCTGGCCAACTCCCAGCACTGCAGCCATAAGCTATCAAGGACAGGCCTCAGAATGATTGATGTGTCTGGCCTCCAGCTAATTAAGGGTTCTCAGCCTATTCTGATCTCCAGTTAGAAGTAAAGCAGATTTGGCTCCATCATCTTTTTAAGGGCACTGACATTCCACTGATTCTCCAGGGATCAAATGTTTCTCTAAATTCCGGATGGCTTTCAGGATCCAGCTAGGGCCGCAGGACCAAGGCCTTGCCTGTAAGCCATGCTCTGGGCCCTGGTGGAACGTTCAGTGACGCCTTTAGTCCATGGCACATGGAGTGGCAAGACCTACCACTGAAATAGTGCTTCTCCAACCTCACTGTGCATGAGAATCACCTGGAAACCAAATCACAGACCACGCGGCCCCAACCAGAGCCTGATACAGAAGCCCCAGATGAAACCTTTGCACCCATGAGTCCTGGGGGGTTCTGATGCGACTGTCCAGGGACCACTCTGTGAGGAGCACTGTCAAAGATGGCATGCCTTGTTCCCACTTCAGAGCTCCTGCTGAGAACTGGAAAGGGTGGGAGGTGACCCTGAGGGACTAACCATCTGCTTGTAACCTGCTGTCCAGATGGAAAATGGAATCTGATAAACCACATAACTTAGGAGAACTGGCGAGAGCCGTTGCCATGCAGGAACAAGGGCTCGCTCAGGATGTCAGGCCACGGCGGAGAGTGAGGGGTTGTGGGTGGATAGGCTAGCCTGACCCCTCGGCACCCAAATGTGAACAACCACATCCACGCCTGGGCTGGTTGCCAAGGTTCACACACACCTAGGAACAGGATCACACATGAGCCACGTGAAACCTCTGCATTTAATGTAGACTTGCTCAACACCTACACTGGGACACTTTCCGTCTGACACAACCAGAAGGGGGATGACTATGTGAGGGGAGGAAAGAAACAAACAACATTCACAGCACAGTATAGTCTGCACCGGCATCATCCTCATTCTTTTTACTCCCCTGCATCTCGGTAAGAATATCTTTCCTGCTGAGCTCAGCCTGTAATCCCAGCACTCTAGGAGGCCGAAGTGAGTGGATGGCCTGAGCCCGTGGGTTCAAGATACCCAGGCAACTTGGCGAGACCTCCTCTCTACAATAAGTCAAAAATTAGCCGGGTGTGGTAGCACGCGCCTGTAGTTCTGGCGACTTGGAAAGCTGAGGTGGAAGGATCACAGGAGCCCAGTGGGTCGAGACTGCGGTGGCCTGGAGCGTGCCACTGCACTCCAGTCTGGGTGGCAGAGTGAGATTCCAACTAAAAAAAAAAAGACCATCTTTCCCTTCCCTGGGAGGAAAATGCAACACAGATGCTTGCACAGGTTCCAGACAAAACTTTCCCCCCACTCAAGAGGGTAAAACACGTCAAAAAGGGGCAACTCAAACCCCACCTCCTCCAAGAAGTCTTACAGGATCACATCAATCAGATTGTATCTTTCCTGCCTTTTGTTTCCATACTCATGCCAGGCAAAGACCATTTGTTCAACAAATACACACCAGCATCTGTTGGGAACAGGCCTGAATTGTGAATACAGGGGTCAGCAAAGGCCAACCCTGCCCTCCTGACATTGACAGTGTGATTTCCCTCCCTAGGTCCACTCCTTTTCCCTGTCCTCAACTTATACGGTACCTTAGCATACAAGAAACCTTCAAATGTCCCTTCAAAAGCTCCCCAACCCTCTCCCGATCCTTGACACTGTCCCTCTGGGACACCCCAAGCAAGGAGAAAGGGAATATTTTACATTAATAAGTAAAAACCAAAGGGATGGCAGGGGAGATGTGGGTGCCCATAAGCAAGGCAACATCATTCCTCCAAGGCCTCAGGACCATCCACTCAGCCCATGCTGTACAGCCAGGAGTTCATGCACAGTCTCAAGTCCGTGTGTGTGTGCGTGCACACACACACACACACACACACACACTGCTCATGTGACCACCTCCCCACCGAATGCACAGCCACGCTTCCTCCATCTTCCTCTGACAAAGCTCCTCCTCCTCCCAGGTCACACCCAGGCCCAGGAAGCCACCACACACCCTCCCATGATGCACCTCACCCAGACTCCCTTGCTGACCATGTGCCCCTCTGAACGGGGCACCAGCCCCTGGTCTCAGAAGCTGCAGATGACAGCGGGAACATGCGCCTTGCTGGCCTGGAGATGACAGCACACTGTGGCCCCTGTTCAGTCTGTGCTAAGAGGAATTAAGCCCAGTTTCTTGCAAATGGAGCTAGGAAAGAGAAGGAAGGAGGGCCCAACTCCAGTAAGGGAAAAAAAAACTTACCAAAAAAGAAATAAAATGTTTTACTCATATACACAAATACACACACTGAAACCCACCCTAGGAGCTGGCAGAACAGTTCCAATCTTCAACCCATCTGTCTTCCAAGGGCCTTGGGCCTGGTCTCCTGAAGAGTGTGACCCTAGGACCCCACAGCTCAGAGCCCACAGGCCCCTGCCAAGGAGGTCCCAGAAGCTACACTCAGCTGTTCTTCAGAGACAGAGGAAGAGAACTGTGGGAAAGAGCCTCGGCCGGCTTGGGGCTGGGGAGCAGGGAGCTGTGCTTTAAACCCTTGCTCCAGCTGGGCCGGCAGCACTGCACGGTCCTCCCCTCTCGACCTCCTGGCCCCATTCCAGAGGCAGATTGAGGGCCCTGCAATGCAGTTCATAGTCCAAGTTCTGGGAGGCTCGAGGCAGGGATGCAGTCAGTGGCCCAGTCCTCAGCCTGCCAGTGTGCATGTTGGGGTGGCCGGCGGACAGCCCCTGCCCCTACACGCCAGTCTGCTCTTTGATCCAGTCCCGAAACAGGGGGAGCCTCGTGTACACGCCTGGCTTGTTCCTCTGAGCGCAGCCTTCTCCCCAGCTCACCACACCAGCCTGGAAGATCCGTCCATCTGCCTCCACGCTGGAGAGGGGGCCGCCAGAGTCACCCTGAGTGGAGACAAGCCCTGCAATGAGTCGCCGTGCTGCCCCCTCCCCCCCCCAATGCGC